AAGGACACAACGTTGGGCCCATGACGGGATTCGAACCCACGACCTTTCGGTTGCGAGTCCGAGAGCCTAACCACTAGGCCACCGACGCCACATTGTTAAACATTACGTCCGATGTTGATTTGATTCTGCTCCTTCGCCAGATACCCTGCCGTCGGCTTACCACCAACGTCCTCCTAATTAGGTGTTTTTACGCCCCAAAGGACACAATTTAGATCATTTAGGAGGCGGGCTTCCGAGCTTCCGACCCTTTGTGTTAGGGCCAATCCGAACAGAGAGGGATACATCCCAAGAAAAGGAGAGTGATACTCAATAAAAAAAATTCTACACACTCGAGAATCGAATTCGTAATTCTGCGTGCGACATGGAAGCCCCTAACCGCCCCACTTCCGACTCCAATCATCTGCTCCATGACAACGAGGGTTTTTTCAAACGTCATTTTATTTTTCGGCCAAACCGACTTCCCCCAAGCATGATCCAGGCAGTGGATTAAGAAAGACAGGCATACTGTACTATTATACTATACACGCAAAACTGAAAACACTTCAGAGGCCCTATTTAACACCCTGATATACAATTATGTTTACAAACTACTGGAGCCACACTCGTTTAAAAATTCTTCCACATACTATACATGAAAACCTCCCCAGAAATCAACAACCAACGAGAAGGGGGCAACAATAAACGAAACAAACGTACTTGCCGCGAAGTTTAATTTTAGTACGACTTTTACGGCACTTTAAGCAACACAATAATTAAGTGCCGAAGATAAGAGGCGTTACTAGAGATAGTAGCATACAAATAAAATAAGGGAGGAGAGATGCTGACGAAAGATGGTTGACAGGAAAGAAGGAGCAAGAGCAAACCACACCAGAGCGCCCGCCAACCACAAACGTACCTGCTGCTTGCCAAAAGGGCACAGAAGGTATCACGAATCGCTCCTGCCTGTTGTAGAGAAACGCCCGAGATACTCCGCCTCGATACATTTGCTCGGTGATATAGTACAGATCTCTCTCGAGGGGTGCACAACCACTCCGGAATTAGGTCGACAATAATAGTAGGCCTACAGTGCTCTGGTCACACGACCACTCACTCGGTCAGGGCAACTGGCCGCACGTGCAAACACTGAGACAATACACAGGTGTTCCCAAAGGAAATCTGAGAGTCGGTCATTTTGGAAAATGTAAAAATATCAATGGTCAGACGCTGCCAGAACCAAGTACTTCCCAAAGACACACGGTAAGTAAGTGTAAGGAACGACCACCACTCGAAATGAAGATCATTGAGCCGTGACAACACATGCAATAACACACGATCGGCCACACTACAGCTTTTTTGGCACAGTCTGGGAGCGCAGAGCGTCTACGCCGTGCCGTGACTGGCTACATAATTTCACGCTTGTGACTCTCGAGCAGTAATTAGCTTGTGCCAGTCTGGATTCGCTCAGAAAGATTAAGATGCTTAAATAAACCGAGCTCCACTATCCCTCTCTGAAACAAGCACAGCTGGACAGACGGTGGACTGGACGCAGATGGCTCGCCTCAGGATTCGACACCTAAGGCAAAAAAAGCACTTGCGGGTTTTGGGTTTTTTTTCCAAAGATACATTTTACTTTTTTATGCAAGTGTTTTTACGCCCCCATATACACAATATACATGTAGATTATTTAGGAGGCAAGCTTCCGAGACTGCCCGTCAGCAAAAACCCGGGCTGAAAGAGGTACAACATCCCAGCAGAACGACCAAGATACTGGATACAAATTTCTCCCCCCTTGGGAATAAAACTCTGGTCTCCTGCGTGGGAAAAAAGAAAAGCACCTAACCACTGTAACCGCTGCACCACAGACGCTTATTAAGAATCCAAAGGTCACAACTGGAAATATACCCTCATTGTATCACATAGAGCGCCCGTTCCACCAACCGAAAACGCGACAAAACACATCATGTCACCTTGATGGAAACTTTTCAGAGAAACCAATAAGCAGTAGATCTAAAAATTCCTTCTTGGATGCCGACTGGTCAACGAGTAGCAGAGATATAAAACCAACACCTGCGAGAGCCAGCTCATGCAGTAAAATAATTATGAAACGGGCCCCAAGTTTTGAAAAAAAAACCAATACAAGAACAAAACCAAAAACGTACCAACTTCTTTCTGTGGATTCGCTTTGGCAGTTAATAATAACACGGCGTTTAATTCAGCTCACTAGACACGTAGAGAAAAGAAAACTCGTTCTTTTACAACTAAATTATCGACTCCTCAATAGTACACAAAAAGACTCCTTACATTTAAAAGTATAAGAATCAACATTCCATCCACCCCCTCCCCTCCTTCACACACACACACACACACACACACACACACACACACACAC